CTTGCCCAACTGGTTTCTTGTTTCGCAGGTGTTTCATTACCATGCTGGGTAACATCCTCAGTGCAGCCTCCGATGAAGCGTCGGTGTGTTCTCCCACCTGGTTTTTAAACTCTGGTGTCCGTTGAGATGGATTGCCTTACTTCCGGTTTACCTTTGTAGTGGAATGTATATGGGATCGAGTTCAATGTGTTTATTAATAGCATGCTTCATGGAGTGCTGGGCTTCTAGGAATTCTCGTGCCTGTCTTTGCCTAGCTTGTCCCAGGATTTTGGTGTTGTCCCAGTCGAAATGGTGGTTCTCCTTGTCCATGTGGATTGAGATGAGTGAGTATTGGTCGTGTCTTTTTGCAGCCAGTTGGTGTTCATGTACTCTTGTTGTTAGTTTCCTCCCTGTTTGTCTGATGTAGTGTTTGTCACAGTCTCTGCAGGGGATCTTGTAGATGACATTGATCCTGTCCTTGGCGGGGAGTGGGTCCTTGGTTCGGGTGAGCAGTTGTCGTAGAGTTGATGTGGGCTTGTGCCCCGACACACTCATCACACTGCCCTACATCAGGAACACGTTGGAACTCACCACTAGACTCCTACGACCGCTGGGCATCAGAGTGGCACACCACCAATTTGACTGGGACAACACCAAAATCCTGGGACAAGCTAGGCAAAGACAGGCACGAGAATTCCTAGAAGCCCAGCACTCCACGAAGCATGCTATTAATAAACATATTGAACTCGACCCCATATACATTTCACTACGAAGGAAAACCAGAAGTGAGGCAATCCATCTCAACGGACCCCAGAGTTTAAAAACCAGGCGGGAAAACACACCGATGCTTCATCGGAGGCTGCACTGAAGATGTTACCCAGCATGGTAATGAAACATCTGCGAAACAAGAAACCAGTTTGGCGAGCCAACCAACCTCAATAACCAATAATTAATGCACTTCCTTTGTTACATGCCCTCTTTATATCCTGATTTATTCTCTGTCCCGCACAGCAGCAACTATGAGGGGGCCTACACATGATCCCATCAACGTCTTCTCTCCCCTTGTTATTTCTTAGCTCCACACACACAGATTCGACATCTTCTGATCTAAGATCATTTCTTGCCATCATACTTATTCCATCTCATACTAACAAAGCTGCCCCACCAGCCTTTCCTTCTTGTCTGACCTTTTGAAAAGTCATGAACACCTGAATATTAAATTCCCACCTTTGATCGCCTTGTAACTGTGTAATGGCTACAAGATCATACCATTAATCTCTATCATCTGAATATACTACCCACCAATATATCATCTCCAGTATACCATATCTATTAGATACAACCTCGTTCCTTTTATACACTACAACATGGAGGATGTTGGTAATTAGGGACAATGTAGTGAGAGATTTTCCTGGCATAAGGAAGATTGTGAGCCAGAAACGGATGATTCTGATGAACTGCAATACTCAGGAGATATTGGATATGCATCTCTGTACCAGCAGGAAATACACAGTTAAGCTCATCTCCTGTCAATGAGCCAGTTGGATTCAGACTTGATTGTGTTTTGCACAGACTTGGTTACAGCCTCCAGAGCGTATTTTTGTCAGGAATAAAAGAATGACTAGAGTAAGATTAGGGCCAGTCAAGGACAGTAGTGGGAAGTTGTGCGTGGAGTCCGAAGAGATAGGAGAGGCGCTAAATGAATATTTTTCGTCAGTATTCACACAGGAAAAAGACAATGTTGTCGAGGAGAATACTGAGATACAGGCTATTAGACTAGACGGGATTGAGGTTCATAAGGAGGAGGTGTTAGCAATTCTGGAAAGTGTGAAAATAGATAGGTCCCCTGGGCCGGATGGGATTTATCCTAGGATTCTCTGGGAAGCTAGGGAGGAGATTGCAGAGCCTTTGGTTTTGATCCTTATGTCGTCATTGTCTACAGGAATAGTGCCAGAAGACTGGAGACTAGCAAATGTTGTCCCCTTGTTCAAGAAGGGGAGTAGAGACAACCCTGGTAATTATAGACCAGTGAGCCTTACTTCGGTTGTGGGTAAAGTGTTGGAAAGGATTATAAGAGATAGGATTTATAATCATCTAGAAAGGAATAATTTGATTAGGGATAGTCAACACGGTTTTGTGAAGGGTAGGTCGTGCCTCACAAACCTTATTGAGTTCTTTGATAAGGTGACCAAACAGGTGGATGAGGGTAAAGCGGTTGATGTGGTGTATATGGATTTCAGTAAAGTGTTTGATAAGGTTCCCCATGGTAGGCTATTGCAGAAAATACAGAGGCATGGGATTGAGGGTGATTTAGCGGTTTGGATCAGAAATTGGCTAGCTGTAAGAAGACAGAGGGTGGTGATTGATGGGAAATGTTCATCCTGGAGTTCAGTTACTAGTGGTGTACCACAAGGATCTGTTTTGGGGCCACTGCTGTTTTTCATTTTTATAAATGACCTGGATGAGGGCGTAGAAGGATGGGTTAGTAAATTTGCGGATGACACCAAAGTCAGTGGAGTTGTGGATAGTGCGGAAGGATGTTGCAGGTTACAGAGGGACATAGATAAGCTGCAGAGCTGGCCTGAGAGGTGGCAAATGGAGTTTAATGCGGAAAAGTGTGAGGTGATTCGCTTTGGAAGGAATAACAGGAATACAGAGTACTGGGCTAATGGTAAGATTCTTGGTAGTGTGGATGAGCAGAGAGATCTCGATGTCCATGTGCATAGATCCCTGAAAGTTGCCACCCAGGTTGATAGGGTTGTTAAGAAGGCGTACGGTGTGTTAGGTTTTATTGGTAGAGGGATTGAGTTTCGGAGCCATGAGGTCATGTTGCAGCTGTACAAAACTCTGGTGAGGCCGCACTTGGAGTATTGCGTACAGTTCTGGTTGCCGCAATATAGGAAGGATGTGGAAGCATTGGAAAGGGTGCAGAGGAGGTTTACCAGGATGTTGCCTGGTATGGAGGGAAGGTCTTATGAGGAAAGGCTGAGGGACTTGAGGCTGTTTTCGTTCGAGAGAAGAAGGCTAAGAGGTGACTTAATAGAGACATACAAGATGATCAGAGGATTAGATAGGGTGGACAGTGAGAACCTTTTTCCTTGGATGGTGATGGCTAGCACGAGAGGACATAGCTTTAAATTGAAAGGTGATAGATATAGGACAGATGTCAGAGGTAGGTTCTTTACTCAGAGAGTAGTAAGGGCATGGAATACCCTGCCTGCAACAGTAGTAGACTCGTCAACTTTAAGGGCATTTAAATGGTCTTTGGATAAACATATGGATGATAATGGAATCGTGTAGGTTAGATGGGCTTCAGATTGGTTTCACAGGTCAGCGCAACAGCGAGGGCCGAAGGGCCTGTACTGCGCTGTAATGTTCTATGTTCTATGTTTCCCTGACTGCTCTTGTTAATTCCTCTCTTTTACCCTTGCTTTTTCCCAGGAGTGGGGAGGATGGGAGTTCGGTCACTGCAAAGTGAGGAACAATCCTGATGGACCAGTCAGTCTTCTGCTGTTAGCGTTCTATGTCTCCATCCTGACCTTCAGAGCCAAAGGAAATATTTTATAAAACGTCAGAGATGGAATCTCTGATCGGAGGAGCAGTGTTGGTGGGAGGAAGGTGACATGTGACTGGAGATCAGGGAACTTTTAACAGCTGGGAGATTTTTGGCAGTTTGACCAAATGCTTGATGATGTGTGTGTGACACTGAATGCTCAGTAACTGAAAATAAGAAGCTGAATTAGAAATAAGAAGCAGGCTAACAGTCCGAGCAGGGCAGTGGGAGCCTGTAACGGACTGGCTGGGACGGAGGTCTATACTGGGGTGGCGTTGGGATTTTGCACTGGGGTCAGCCAGGAGAGTGTTGGAACATTGAGTTTTTTTTTATTCATTCACCGGATGTGAGTATCACTGACCAGACCAGCATTTATTATCCAGCGTGCAGTTAAGGGCCAATCAAATTGCTGTGGGCTTGGAATCACATGTAGGCCAGACCAGGTAAGTTACCAGTTTCCTTCTCTAAAGGGCATGATGGCTTCTCCCTGACAATCAGCAATAGTTTCATGGTCATCATTAGACTCTTAATTCCACATTTTTATTGAATTGAAATCCCATGATCTGCAGGTTTGAACCTGAATGTAACCTGGGTGTCTGGATTAGGAGTTGCATGATAATACCACTAGGCCATCCCCTCTCCAGAGAGGAGCCTAGGCTCAGTTTGAAGATGGGACCAGATATTTTACATTGTCAGTGAAGTATGTTATCATGGTCGCTACCCTCATGCCTACAGCACTGCTTCAAACAGAAACTAGAATAGGGTGCATTACATCATTCTAAATGTGGAATCGAGATTTACCCGAATGCACTATATTCATTTCTGAAAGTCGGGCTGTGAGAGGAGGTGGGGTTGTGGGCATTAAGGCTGAGATGTTTCCTCTGGTTACTCTGATTGTGGTTAGTGCACCGAGAATCAGAGTGAATTCAGCAAGTGTGGTACTAAGTGCCTATGTCACCCTCTGTCTAGTTCTACACTGTTTACACATTAATAGAGTTTAAAGCAACAAAAGCAAAAATTGATGGAAAAGCTCAGCAGGTCTGGCAGCATCTATGGAGAAAAATCAAGAGTTAACTCTGGGTTCTGAGAAAGGGCCATTCAACCCGAAACGTTAACTCGGATTTCCCTCCACAGATGCTGCCAGACCTGCTGGGCTTTTCCAGCAATTTCTGTTTTTGTTTCTGATTTACAGCATCTGCAGTTCTTCCAGTTTTTATAAAGTTTAAAATAAGTTCAGTTAAGATCAATGTTTAACAAACTCTGAATTTCCTATAATGAACCGATTAAACAAATTCTATTTGTCCTAAATTGTATAATTCCCTGTTACTACCACACTACACTCAATGGTTAACTAAACATGATTAAATATTCTGGTGATCAATGAAGAAGCTCAAAGTACACTTGGATCCAGATTGTTTTCTGCACGTGTTCAATGGGCTGTTGAAATCAATCAATCTGATCAGTTGTTGATGGTGATTCTGAGCAAGACCACGTTACACCGCGGGGTGAAACCGCTCAGACTCGGAGCTGACATTGCGTTTCCTCTTCTGGCGCTGCTTGCCTGTTACGGCCAAGTACACAAGGACAATGCTCAGGAAAAAACCTGTACACCAGGAAGGGAGAAGGATGACGGAGAATTAATCTTCAAAAGAGAGAGAAGTGAGGAACTTGCATTGATATATTTCATGATCTCTACACTTCCCTGAATGTTTAACACACAATAGTGAGACATAGAAAATAGGTGCAGGAGTAGGCTATTCGACATTTCAACCCTGCACCAACATTCAATATGATCATGGTTGATCATGCAGTTTTAGCACCCCACTCCCACTTTCTCTCCATACTTTGTGGGAGAGAAACCTACAGGTTCACAACTCTCTGAATGAAAAAAATTCTTCCTCATTCCAGTCCTGAATTGCTTGTCCCTTATTCTTACACTGTGACCCCTAGTTCAGGACTTTCCCAACGTCAAGTACATTCTTCCCACATCTAGCCTGTCCGGTCCCATCAGGGTTTTACATGTTTCTATAAGATCCTCTCTCATTCTTCTAAATTCCAGCGAGTACACTGTATAATCGCTTTTTTGTGAAGTAGAGAATGTGACATCCAAACTGTACACAGCAAGATCTCAGAAATAGAGATAAACACCTGGGTAACCTATATCGTAGAAGGACAAATATTCACCAGGTCACCAGAATTCCCTTGCTCTGTTTCAAGTAATCTCACAACAATTTTTCTCTCAATCTCTCACTCTCTTTCAATTTCTTTAGTCCCAATCTCCATCTCTCTTTCTCTCCTACTCTCATGGCCCCCGCCTGAGAGTCTGGGCAGACCTTAGTTTGCATTCCCTCAGCAGCTTAGGTTCGAGGTGAGACTGGAGTAGGGATTGAACCCATGAGCAACAGAGTCTGAGTGAACGGAGTGCAACCATGGGGGCATAGTTGACAGCTCTTGATACAACATTTAAAAATCTCCCTCTCTAACTTTCTCACGCTCTCTCACTCTCTCTCACTCATTCTTTCTCTCTCTCTCTGTCGTTCACTCTTTGTTACTCAGGGAAAGGGAATTCCAAAGATGAAAAAACTGAAGAAATTTATCGTCCTCTCAATCTGATCCCTCATTCTGACAGTGTGACCCCCTGTTCTGGTTTCCTGCTGAGATAAAGCATTAGCTCCAAACTATTTTAAATGCCCCCACCCTCCCATGCCACACCCCCCGCCCCCCCCGAGTTGAGTGATGAACTGAGCTACTCACCGATTGCTCCTAATGTGCCAACAATGGTGCCCACAGTTGTCAGAATGGTGGGTTTCCCTGGAATAGGCTCCACCTCAAGCCTGCATTCCCCTCTGGAATTGCAAGGACAAATATTCACTGCAAAGGACAATGGCAGAACGTCAGGTTCAAACTTTTGAAGCATGGGGTTTGGTATGTGGTCAGCAGCAGAGCTGAGATCTGGACCAGTCGATTTACTCAGAACCGTTTGGAGGAGTACTGCAACATCAAAGGAATTGGAACCGGAATCGAGCAAAATGCTGGGTCACGTAACTACTTCAGATTTTCCAATCTCAGAAAATATTAGAAAGGTGAAGGCCCAATTAGATGCTGAAGGAGTGAGGTATGTTTAAAATTTGCTGGAGACTCAAGAACTCCCTAATTGTAAATTTTGGATTTGAGACAATGTTGGATGTGATCTGTGTCACTCAGACTCTGAAATGCATCATTTTTATTGACTGCTTTGTTGTTTACACACTGAAAGATCTTCCTCAGTGATAGATTCCACATTTCAGAACATTTCTTAAGCTGTTCATGTGTGTAATTATGTGAGACATTTCTAGTATGTTTGTTTTGTAACCTCAATGAAATTACTGTATCTATGAGTGATTCAATGACTATTTGGGTCACCAGGTTGAATGAAAACATATAGATTTGGCCCAAAAGTATGGAATGTTGCTGAACAAAGAGACCTAGGGGTCCAGGGGCACAGTTCCTTGAAAGCAGAGTTGCTGTTAGACAGGGTAACAAGGAAGACTTTTGATACACTTGCCTTCGTTGGCCAGTGGATTGAGCATAGGAGTTGTAGTTGTTACAGGACATTGGCGAGGCCATTTTTAGAATACTGTGTAAAATTCTAGTCTTCCTGCTATAGGAAGGATGTTGTTAAACTTGAAAGAATTCAGAAAACATTTAGAAGGATGTTGCCAGGGTTGGAGGGTTTGAGCTACAGGGAGAGGCTGAATAGGCTGGGGCTATTTTCTCTGGAGTGTCAGAGGCTGAGGAGAGATCTTATAGAGATTTATAAAATCATGAGGGGCATGGATAGGGTGAATAGCCAAGGTCTTTTCCCCAGGGTGGGGAAGTTCAAAACTAGAGAGCATAGGTTTAAGGTGAGAGGGGAAAGATTTAAAAGGGACCTAAGGGGCAACTTTTTGACGCAGAGGGTGGTGCATGTATGGAATGAACGGCCAGAGGAAGTGGTGGAGGCGGGAACAATTATAACATTTAAAAGGTATCTGGATGGGTATATGAATAGGAAGGTTTTGGGGAAATATGGGCCAAATGCTGACAAATGGGACTAGATCAGTTTTAGACAGTTGGCCAGCACAGACAAGTTGGATAGAAGAGTCTGTTTCTGAGCTGTACGACCCTATGACTCTATGAATACTACTCAGCAAGTCTCTCAGCATCTGCAGAGTGCGAAATGGAATTAACATTCTGGATAACACAAGCCCTGCTGGGTATGTTCGTGTAGGGGGGACAGGGTTATGTAAAACACTTGGGTGTCTAGCCCACCAAATTCCCAGCCAGTCCTTAGCTCAGCCCCATCGAGTGGGTCGGGCACAATCAGAACTCTCCCAGCATGTGTAAATAAATCATTAAGAGTCATAAGAACAGGTGCAGGCCATTCAGCCCTTCCTGCCTGTTACATATCCAATGAGATCATGGCTGACCTGTGGCCTAACTCCATATACCTGCCTTTTGCTCATATTCTCAAATACCTTTGCTTAACAAAAATTCAATCAACTTTGTATGAAGCCCACTTGGACCCAGTATTGGCCTGGTCCACCATGATGGAGTTGGCTTGTGCAGGTGGGAGCACATTTTAGAATGTTTTTAAAATGGCAGGAAGGAAGGGGGCACACTATCTTTGGAGGGTACCTTTGGTGGCATTCCTGGAGGAGATAGTAATCCCTTTCTTTCCTACCTACCTATCCTTCACACCACACCACTAAACCTCCTCAAACACCCTCCCAAACCTCTGGGTATACTCTCCTCACTCAATAACCCTGATTTACCCGACTCGCCCAGTCAGGTCCTTCCTTCTGGCTGCCCACATTCCTTGTGGGACAGGCCAAGGGCAGCAGATACATGGGAACATTACCATCAATTCCAACTTCCCCTCCAAGCCGCTCATCCTGACTTGGAAATATGTCGCCGTTCCTTCAGTGTCATTTGGTCAAAATCCTGGAATTCCCATGCTAATGACATTGTGGGTCAACCTACAGCACATGGACTGCAGCGGTTCAAGAAGGCAGCTCACCACCACCTTCTCAAGGGGTAACTAGGGACAGGCAATAAATGCTGACCCAGCCACAATGTCCACATCCCATAAATTCATTTAACAATCTGAAAAGTCTAATGATGGCCTTGAATCCATTATCAATTATGTGAAAACCCATCTGGCTCACTAATATCCGTCAGGGAAAGAAATCTTCCACCCTCACTTGGACTGGCCTACACATGACTCCAGACCCACAGCAATGTGCTTGACCTCGACTGTCCTCTGAAATGGCCTAGGAAACCATTCAGTTTGACCAATGGCCACAAAATCTCAACAAAGAAATGAAACTGGACGGACTACCTGGCATCGACCTGGGCACTGGAAATAACAATGACAAAAAAACAGCCCTTCAAATATCACAAATATCCCTATTCTCAATGATGGAAGAGCCCAACACATCAGTGCAAAAGATAAGGCTGAAGATTTGCAACAATCTTCAGCCACAAGTGCCGAGTGGATGGTCCATCTCAGCCTCCTCCACTGGTCCCCGGCATCACACATCTAATGATTGGTGTGCAGTGTCGTAAGTTCCAGTCTAAATCTCTTACAATTGGGCTAAAATTAACTATCAAATTTATTTAGAAGTTACATTATTACACAGAATCACACAGAGAGGAACACAAAGTACTTGAAAACAAAGACGAAAGCAGTCGAGAACTGATTAAAATATTTCTCTTTTCACATTTTCTATTTACTGGAACACTTTGTAGCTGAATGAAGTAACTAATTAAATTAGGAGCATGACAGTTTTTAATATATACTTACATAGCAGCGAGTGATTACCCAAATTTGAATGTGATTACACTGTACAAGTCCCTCACTTACCTGTTAGACTATCTCTGTGATGCTGGGGGGGATCCCCTTTCGCAGTGAGGATGATTGGGATCTGGTACACCCCTGGATCTACCCAACTCAGGGCAATAGTCAGAGAGGCATGTGAGTCTGGAAGAGATCCGCACAGTCAGACTGAGAAAAATACCGCATTAGGCACTGATTCTATAGACAATATTTAATCTGAAAGATACCAGGCAGCCTGCCTGTCAGCAGAAGACAATTGAAAAAAAATCTTGCATTTTGCTAGAGCTTTGCACAGCTTCCCAATATCTTAAAGCACTATACAGACAATCTTATGCAACAAAGTAATGTTGCAAATGAGGCTGCCAATTTGCACAAAAAAATGCTCAGACTAACGACAGTGATGTAAGGAGCAGATCACTTGTACTGTTTGTTTGCAATATCAGCTGGGGGAAATTTCTGGCCAGGACACAGCAGAGAGTTCACCTGCTCCTCTACAATACAGCAGCCACAAGTTTTATTACAACAACTCAAACGGCCCGTTCCACCATTGGTCTAAAGTTTATTCATGAAAACAGCACATCCAAAACTACAGAACTCCCTCAGCACTGACCCTCCGACAGTGCTGCACTCCCTCAGCACTGACCCTCTGACAGTGCGGCACTCCCTCAGCACTGACCCTCCGACAGTGCTGCACT